GGCGGAGGTTGCAGTGAGCCGAGATTGCACCATTGCACTCCAGCCTGGGCAATAAGACCAAAACTGTGTCTAAAAGAAAAAGAAAACCTCAGTAAATGTTTAAAAAATCAAAATCATACCAACCATACTTTTGGACCACAGTGGAATAAAAAGAAAAATAAATACCAGAAAGATCTCTCAAAACCACACAATTTCACGAAAATTAAACAACTTGCCCCTGGATGACTTTTGAGAAACAATGGCATTCAGAAAGAAATTTTTCAAATCTTTAAAAAAGTGAAAACAGAGATACAGCATACTAGATTCTCTGTTAACAGGAAAGGTTATAGTGCTAAAAATGCCTACCTTAAAAAGTTAGAGAGACCTCAAATTAACAATGTAATATCACACCTAGAGGAACTAGATAAACAAGAACAAACTAACCCCACAGCTAGAAGAAGAAAAGAAATAACTATAACCGGAGCGGAACTGAATGGAATTGGGACCCCAAAATCCATACAAAGAATCAATGAAACAAAATGTTCATGCACTGAAAAGATAAGCAAGATCAATGGACTACCAGCTAAATTAACAGATTAAAAAAGACAGAACCCAAATAAGCACGATCAGATATGACAATGATGACACTGCAACCAATCACACAGAAATACAAAAGACCTCTACGACTCTTATGAATGCCTCAATGCACACAAACTATAAAATCTGGAGGAAATGAACCAATTTCTGGAAACACACAATCTCCTAAGATTGAATCAAGAAGAAGTTGAAACCCTGAATAGGCCAATATTGAGTACTGAAATTGAATCCATAATATAAATACCCACCAGTCAAAAAAAGTCCCAGACCAGAGGGATTCATAGCCAAATTCTACCACATGTACAAGAGCTGGTACCAGTTCTACTGAAACTTTTCAAAAACATCAAGGAGGAGGGATTTCTCCCTAACTCATTCTACAAAGCCAGCATCAGTCTGACACTGAAGTTTGGCAGACACAAACAAAAAAGAACACTAAAGGCAATTATCCTTAAAGAACACAGATGCAAAAATCCTAAACAAAACACTTGCAAACTGAATCCAACAGAATATCAAAAAGTTAATTCACCACAATCAAGTAGGCGTTATTCCTGAGATGCAAGGTTGGTTCAATGTACACAAATCAATAAATAGCCAAAGCAATGTTAAACAAAATTATGAAGCTGGAGGCATCACATTACCAACTTCAAACTATACTATAAGGCTACAGTAACCAAAACAGAATGGTACTGGTTAAAACAAACAAAAGGAAAACAGATACATGGACCAATGGAACAAGTTAGAGAACATGGAAACAAAGCCATACAATGACAGCCACCTGATCTTTGACAAAGTTGACAAAAATAAGTAATGAGGAAAAACCTCCTATTTAATACATGGCACTGGGATAACTGGCTAGCTACATACAGAGGAAGGAAACTGGACTCTCCCTTTCACCATATACAAAAATTAACTCAATATAAATTAAATATTTAAATGTAAGATCTCAAAATATAAGAATTCTAGAAGAAAATCAAGGAATCACCATTCTGGACATCAACCTTGAGAAAGAACTTATGATTAAGTTCTCAAAAGCAATTGCAACAACAAAAAAGGATAAGTTGATCTAATTAAACTAAAGAGCTTCTGTACACCAAAATAAATAATCAACAGAGTAAACAGACAAACATCTAATACCCAGAATCTATAAGGAATTTACACAACTTAACAAGCAAGAAACAATACAATTTTAAAATAAGCAAAATTTAATTCAGTTCTTCTGTGATTTTAGTTACTTCTTTTCTTCTGCTGGTTGAGTTGTATTCTTTTCTTTCTAGTTCCTCTAGCTGTGACATTAGATTATTAATTTGAGAACTTTCTAATTCTTGATGAAGGCATTAAGGACTATAAACTTTCCTCTTAACACTGCTTTATTTACAACCCAAAGATTTTGGTAAATTGTGTCTCTATTTTCATCAATTTCTTTTTTTTAATATTTCTACCTTATTTATTTTGTTTGCCTAAGTGTTATTCAGGAGAAGTTTGTTTTATTTCTGTTTTTGTGTAGTTTTGAGAAATTTTCTTAGTATTGATTTCTATTTTTATTGCATTGTGGTCCAATAGTGTGATTGGTTTGATTTACTTTTTAAAAAATTTTATTGAGAATTTCTTTATGATCAAGTATGCGGTGGATCGTAGAAGACGTTCTGTTTGTGGATGAGAAGAATAAATATGCTGTGGTTTTTTGTTGGGTGGAGTGTCGTGTAAATATCCCTTAGGTTCAATTGGTCAAATGTTGAATTTAATTTCAAAATTACCTTATTAGTTTTCTGCCTCAACGATTTGTTTAATGCTTTCAGCAGGATAATGAAGTTCACCACTATTACTGTGTAGCTGTCTAAGTCTTTTTGTATGTCAAGAAGAGCTTATTTTATGAATCTGGGTGCTTTATAGTGTTGGGTGCATATGTATTCATGATTATTAAGTGTTCCTGTTGAATTGAACCCTTTATTATTATATAATGCCCCTCTTTGTCCTTCCTGATTGTTAGTTTAAAGTCTGTTTTATCTGACATATAAATAATGACTTCTGCTCTTTTTGTTTGTTTGTTTTCTGTTTGCATGGTAGATCATTTTCTATCCCCTTACTTTGAATATGTGGTTTTGATGCAAATCAGAATTGCAATGAGATATCATTTCACACAGGTCAGAATGACGATTATTAAAAATTAAAAAAAAAAAAACAGATGCTAGCAAGACTTCAGAGAAGTGGGAAAGCTTATACACTGTTGGTTTGAATGTAAATAATTCAGCCACTGTGGAAAGCTGTTTGGAGATTTCTCAAAGAACATGAATCAAACTACCATTCAACCCAGTCCCATTACTGGGCATATATGCAAAAGAGAACATAAACATGCACTAACACGTTCATTGTATCACTACACACAATAACAGAGACATAAAATCAACCTTGGTGCCCATCAGTGGTGGACTGGAAAAAAATGTGGTACATATACACCATGAAATACTATGCAGCCATAAACAGGAATGATATTACATCTATTACAGCACCATGGATTCAACTGAAGATCATTATTCTAAGTTAATTATTGGAGGAAAAGAAAAGTAAATACTGTATGTTTTAATTATAAGTGGGACTTAAACATTGGGTACTTATGCACACAAAAATGGCAACAAAAGAAATGGAGGACTACTCGGCCAGAGTCGGGGAAGCTGTTGAAAAACTATTGGATACTATGCTCAGTATCTGGATGCTAGGATAATTCATACCACAAATCTCAGCATCACACAGTATACCTAGGAAACAAACTTGCACATGTACCACCGAATCTAAAATAAAAGTCGAGGGGAAAGAAAGAAAATAAAATACTAAACAAGTATATTTTACATTGTGTATGATAAATCTATCTATTAAATTTAAAAAAGACTCACTTTAGAAGCATATATAAATTTGACTATAGATATCACATCAAAAACTAAGGGACTCTAAACTTTAAAATTAAGAATATTGACGTAATTTAGACAAATGCAAACCTTAAAAATTAGGTAGTACAGTATTTGTGTTAAACAAATTTAAATTAAAATTAACATTGAAAAGAACATTTGAACTTTCATTAAAATGATTAAAGGAGCAAACTGCAATGAAATTAAAATTGTATTGATGGGAAAATAGATACACAGACATGTAAAAATATTTGAGTTTCATGGAACTATTGATAGGAGTATAATACGAAGTTAGACACAATAATCTCAGTCATTTAGATTTCAAAGCGATTTTTGAAAGGATAAGAAAAATGTAAAAAGTATAATCATTGTAATTTTAATGAACATATTAATTTTATTTATGCCACAAGTATAATAGTGGTGTTTCTTGCCTTATAATGGGGTTACGTCCTGATAAAAGTTGTATTGAATACACCTAACCTACCAGACATCATAGCTTAGCCTAACCTACCTTAAAGATACTCAGAACACTTAACATTAGCCTACAGCGGGCAAAACAATCTAACACAAAGTCTATTTTATATAAAAGTGTTGGACAGTCTAGGTAATTCATTGAAGACTGTGCTGAAAGTGAAAAAGAGAATGGTTGTATGGGTCCTCAAAGCACAGTCTCTACAGAATCAGTATTGCTTTCACACCATCATAAAGTCGATAAATTTTTAAGTGGAACTATTTTAATTTGGAGATTGTCTATATACATCTTCATCTTGCATGCTATGAAATATTTTCAAAAACTCTTCCTGATAAATTTCTGTTTGGAGCTTGTAATGTCAAATGAGATCTTTGTTTCTTACCTTTAGAATTTTTAAGTTTAATTGTTTGCATTTTATTGTACACCTTTCCTTAAATTTCACTTTCTCTTACTACAAAATTTGTCTTCACAGTTACTGTCAGGAAATGTGGTTTCAGAATTGACAACCCTGGAGACAGTCAGGTCCACAATATGAGAAGTCAAAAGACTCTTCCTCATCGGTGCCAAAAGCGCGCTTTAATTATAATAGAACCAAAGAGATGTGCCTCAACCTTTAAATTGTTGTGTGACCTTGAACATAGTAAATGCTTAAAAAACATTTCTTGAACGAATGAACAAACAAGTGTGTGTGTGTGCGCGCGCGTGCGCTCATGTATGTGTTTGTTTTCTGTCAAACATCTTGTGGTTTCCCTATGAAGTTTTGTTCTCTAAGTGTCATAGTCTCCAGATTTATGACCACTGAACTTGGTGGTGGGGGAAGGGGCACAAAATCTGTGTGCTATACTGCTGGAGGCAATGTTAGCTGTGTGGTTATTTCATGTGAGACACCCTCTACTAGGCACTACCTGTGGTTTATTGAGAAATGAGTTAGTTTTGAAATATCCAACAGACGTTCATAGGAGGAGGCAGATTAGAAAGTGTTTATTCAGGCTTCTGGCAGCAATTCTTAATCAGCGATCCTCTAACGTTTATTTCTAATTTGGTTTACATACATTTTCTGCAGGACGAAGAAGATATCCTAGTGGGTTGTCTCTCGGTTTTCTTTCAGGGCTGTGAAGAAGAACAGGAAGCCAGCTAGAGTTAGAAATAACCAATTTTTTAAAACAGTATGCCATATGAAAGGTTATGATAATCTGAAAGGATTCTTCTCAGGAACCATTCAAAATGTTTGAACCCATGAAAACTACCCATTTGCAACTTTCATCATGAGCCTTTCTCCTTGGGAAGAGCAATTTTGTGCCAGTGTTGCTTCAGTTTGTATTATCTCACCCTTTGGCCAGACATATTTAGAGTATCTAAGACTCACATGGTGATTATTACTATTTCATGAGACCATTCCTCACTTAAATTCCTGTTTGCATAGTTTGAGTCCCCAACTGAATAGTTACTTTCTCCACTTGGAAGAAACTAATAAAAACTAGTGCACAATGACCAGTTGCAGAAGATATTCATTCCAATAAAGTGGTAGATTTTATAAGCTTACTTCTCGAGTTCTTCCTCCTCTTTACCTAAATAAATTTTTTGCAGTCTACAGAAGCACTTCAAGCCTGCCAGTTCACAAATAACCCCGGATCCTGGGCAACTGAGTTGGCCCCAAAAGAATGAAGCTTTCATGATCTCCAAAATCTAACTCGATATCTGATTTGGGGCAAGCTCTCTCTGTACATACTGATTAGACTTATCAAATGACAATAAACAGCTTAAAGTGGCTAAGATTTAATGCTTATTGTAACTAACTTCTACATCCTGTTCGGTGCTTTCTGTGTTCATCACAATGGCTGGATTCCTCTCTTGGAATATATATGGAAGAGATCTACAAGTTAAATATTTCAATGGCTTATATTTTCCTATAGTGCAGGGGACTCAGCACATTTGCGTGTGTGAGAGGGAGAGAGAGAGAGAGAGAGAGAGTGTGTGTGTGTGTGTGTGTGTGTGTGTGTGTGTGTGTGTGTGTGTAGGGCCATAGAGTCAATCTCTTAGCCTTTGTGAGCCTTACAGGTTCTTTGCAACTGCTCAATTGTGCTATTAAGCACAAAAACAGCCGAAGACAATATGTAAATCGTAAATCACCAGACATGTTTGTCTTCCAATAAAACTTTATCTGAGAATACTGGAGTTTGAATTTCATATTATTATCATGTATTATAAACTATTCTTCTCCTGATTTTTTTCAACCACTTGAAAATATAAATAGTCATACATAAATAGACAGTAGGCCAGATATGGCTAATAGGCTATAGTTTGCTGACCTATATATTGAATAAATTAACTTCAAAATATATTGAAAAGGGTAACAATGTAAGATAATGATATAAATCAATTTGCTTGACTGTCATAACTGTTTCACCATGTATATGTATAACAAAACATCATTTTTTACACCTTTAGTGTATACAATTTCTATCTATCTATCTATCTATCTATCTATCTATCTATCTATCTATCAAAGAAAATATTCATATCTAAGTGTCTATTTTTTTCTGCTCTGACCATAAGCAAAATCAACTGATGAACTAAGTGGGAACTGGCCGCTCACTCTGATCTGTCAACTCCAGGCTAGAAAACCACGAAGCTCCTTGGCTCATACTTCAAAAATCTGTTCCAGTTCTAATTCAGGTCTCCGACAACTTGGAAGTGATTTGCCTTCATTCTTTATCCCTCCTGTCAAGGCAATGGCTCTCTGCATGGTTTCTTAACCACATTTGGAGAATCCACTAGTGTTCACTTATTCCCATAGAGGGAATAATTAACTAAAACTCAAAATAGGAAGCAAGTTTCACAATGTCCTGCTTGCAACCATTGAGTAATGGGAGGTTAGTTTTCTTTTAAGCTAATTATAAGGTAGAAAGTATGTGACTTTTAAAAATGTTAAAGTATTTTTACAGTTAAAACATGACCAAATTTTAAAAGTTAAAAAACATTCTAATAGAATAGTAGTGAAATATCCAAATAAACTCAAGTCCTGTTTATTATATTATTTATTTCATGTGGTATTTACTTTCATTTTTTAATAGTAGTTCTTATCTTGCCATTTTATTTAACATTGGTAAGCATAATCTCCTTACTTTCTATTATGTTTAAATAAGCTCACTACACTACCACTAGCAGATCCCCCTTTTCTCTTCCCCTGCTTCTGTATAACATAGTTACAATTTTTGTTTAAATCAATTTTTAGTTATTACAATGTTACAGCCATGTAAGTACTATTTTCTTTGAGTCAAGTAATGCATTGTGTTTGCATTTACATTTATTTAGTTCTGCAACTTTTTCATTTCCCCTGGAATCAATTGGTTCCTATTTATATGCTCATTTCTCTACCTACTTATTGCCAATTCTTCACACTGTCCAATAGCCTGAAACAACTTCTCAATAAAGTATTCTAAAGAAGAAAATATCACTTATTTGTCTTCCTGTTGCATGCATTTGTTTTCCTCCTACCAAACCCTCTCTTTTGTTGATCAACTCGGGACTAAGAATGCATCCAAGGATGTTTCAGTTCTTCTACTATTTCTTTTACTCTTACTCCGAAAATTCTCATTTTTTTTCTTTGCCAATTGCTCTGTTTTCAAGATTTCCCATATTTTTCTTTTTCCAGGTGTAAGCACTAATTTTTGTGGATCTCACTACGCTAAGATAGAGGTCACAGGAGTGAATTTTTTGGAGATTTACTTATTTAAAAAATTATCAGAATTTTTCTCTAAAATACTCCCAAATTAATGGATTATTTATTTCATCCAGGTATATAACTTGAAGTTGAAATTAACTGCTACTCAAAGTTTTTGAGATTTTTATCCACTTTCTTCTAGTTCCCTGATCTTCTGAGAATTCTTTTTTCTGCATTTCAAGCTATTATCCTCAATTCAAACAAAATCATACTCATCAGTATTATATTACATATGTGTTTATAAGTAATTCTGAGGAAAAACAGTGTACCAGAGGCATTATACTAATTTGAAACGTGATATACCACACCTGGGTAAATTACAAAGCGCTTTGTTAAATGTTTCACATATAATCACAATATGGTATTAACAGGTTTAAAACATAAAAGCTATAGGAATAATAAGGAAAGAAATCATAAATATTGGGTGGGAAAATGATTTCTTAATGAGATAGAATATTTGCTTACTGTGAAAAGGATAGCCACCATAAAAGTAAAAATGATCATCTACAATTTGCATGTAATTTGCTAAAAACAAAGATAGCAACTAAATTCTGAAGTAGGTGAGATGTGTTTAAATTAGAAATATATATAGAAGAAATGCAGAAGATAGGGTTTAAATAATCAATACAATTTTCAAGGAAGCATTGCTGAGAAATAAACACTTATAAGAAAAAATAGCATCGATGAAAGAAAGAAGATTGGAAAGAATGCTGTCATTTCAGGACTCTAATGTATGGTAACCCACTTCCTTGTCCAAGTTCAGAACCAATTGAGAGTTAGACAAATGAGTTAAGTAGATCCAGTAGACTTTTTTTTTTTTTTTTTTTTTTTGAGACTGAGTCTCGCTCTGTTGCCCAGGCTGGAGTGCGGTGGTGCAATCTCTGCTCACTGCAAGCTCCGCCTCCCCGGTTCATGCCATTCTCCTGCCTCAGCTTCCCAAATAGCTGGGACTACTGGCATGTGCTACCATGCTCGGCTAATTTTTTTGTATTTTCAGTAGAGATGGGGTTACACCTTGTTAGCCAGGATGGTCTCCATCTCCTGATCTCATGATTTGCCCGCCTCGGCCTCCCAAAGTGCTGGGATTACAGGTGTGAGCCACCACTCCTGCTTCAACTTGCTTTTAATACACCTTACATGAGAAAAAAATGAATTTGTTTTGTTTTAAGCCACTAAATATTGGATGGGTTTGCTATTCAGCAATAAGCAACTGAAACACGGATGTAGGTCAAATGACTGAGCTGTGGGAAAACATGGCTTAGGTGCATAGCCTAATGGGCTTTCTAAATCTAAGCCCCAGGATTAGTCTTACCCATTCCTAGAAAATGCCTAACCACCACCACCGTGCTCTAATGATCTGCCCTTATCACAAATGTTCAGTCTGTGCCTTGTAAAGTTTACAGCATGGAGTAGCAGCACTGAATACATTCTGTGCAAGTACAAACATTCTAAAGAGAAAAGGAAGGCAGACTCGGCCAAGCAACCTCAATTTTAGCTCTTGAATTTAATCAGATAATTCATTCATATTTTCCCAGGGGATTCAGGGAGCAGAGTGTAATTAAGGAAATAGAAACAAAAATGTCATCTTTACTGTTGTCTCTTCTCATGAAATCATAAGAGTAGATGTAAATCCCTAGTCCCTATTCCCACCATTACCACCCAACACAGGCTACATTTAATTCTGTATATGGATCCCCTAACTTTCATGGCACCTCATTTTACAATCTGAATTTCTGATAAAGTTTTACGATCTTTAAGGTGCAGGATATGTCTTCTATAAGTTGTTTCTCTCTCAGCATTCAACTCAGTACCTGACATGCGGTTGGTATGTCGGGTTGAAGGAATGAATAAAAGCTTCCGACCACAATTTTCGTGTTCATACTTCATCAGAAAATTCATTCACTCATTTTTTACCATATGAAATAGGAATTGAAAATAAAACAATGCATACTAAGTATTTGAGATTTCTGCGTAAGTCCTAGTAAATGCAATTTTAAAATCACCTTCAGAACGGGCGCGACGGCTCATGCCTGTAATCCCAACACTTTGGGAAGCCGAGATGGGCGGATCATGCGGTCAGGAGATCGAGACCATCCTGGCTAGCATGTCAAACCCCGACTCTACTGAAAATACAAAAAATTAGCCAGACATGCACCTGTAGTCCCAGTTACTTGGGAGGCTGAGGCAGGAGAATGGCGTGAACCCGGGAGGCGGAGCTTGCAGTGAGCCAAGATAGTGCCACTGCACTCCAGCCTGGGTGACAGAGGAGACTCCATCTCCAAAAAAAAAAAAAAAAAAAAAAAATTCACCTTCAACTACGCTCTATGATGGGCTGAATGAAATTTTCATCTTGCAAGGATTCTTATGTGCAAAATTTATATGTGTTTGACCCCTCTAATTTTTTCTCATTATTCAAGCTTTTTAGATATCTTTTTCTCATTTTAATAATTACATGCCATGACGAATTTTTATATTAATTAGGCTGAGCATTTATATGTCTAGAAATTTGTGCAATTTAATGCCGATGATAATCATTGCATTTTTCTGTAGTAACTTTTTCATTATTTGCCTTTCTTTTTTTATAAAATTATTGTAAAGTTGCATATTTGAATATCTATTTTGTCATTTCCTATGTTTTCTCTTCTATTATTCTCTTTTTCTTTGTTGGCTTTCACTTGAAGAAATTTTTTTTGTTATTCCTTTTACTTTTCCACCTTGCATTGAAGTTCTGGTTTCTAAATTTACTTTTTTTTTTCAATACCTAAGAGCTTCTTAATTTTCGATTTTTATTTTTACAGCATCTTATATTTGGTTCCACTCTCAGATGATTTTTTTTAACTAGTTTTTCTTTTGTTTTGCACTTTGTCTATTTCATTAGAGTCTCTTTGCTTCTATTTGTTTCCTTCATTGGTTTTTATGGTAAATGCTGTCAGAGATCTAATGATCCTGGGACTCACATACTCAGCCAGCAATGAAACAAGAAAAAGTTCACAGAAATGTCTACTTAAGGAAAACCATGTATGAGTGGAAGTTTCTTTCATAAAAAGTATTTATAAGCAAAATCTAACAGTGCTGAGTGTTAAGAGTATGAAAGACAAAAGCACGTCTTATTTTTACAGAAAATCTTGGAGTCTGGGCCATAGGCTGTATTATCATTATATTTGCTCAAATGTTATTATCTATAATAATATTTTAGATTTTACATAAAGAGAACTTTCCATCAACTCTACCTGTCTTAATTGATCAAAATTCCACACACATCTATAATTGTAATACTTTTCTAATACCATGAAGATGAAAAGTGATGGATTTTTATATTTTTATCAGTAATGTTTTGTTTTGAAAGGATACATTAAAGTTGATATCCAGTCATTTTGTCCCCGGAATTGGTGGGTTCTTGGTCTCACTGACTTCAAGAATGAAGCCGGGGACCCTCGCCGTGACTGTTACAGTTCTTAAAGCTGCTGTATCTGGAGTTTGCTCCTTCAGACGTTCAGATGTGTCTGGAGCTTCTTCCTTCTGGTGGGTTCGTGGTCTGGCTGGCTTCACGAGTGAAACTGCAGACCTTAACGGTAAGTGTTACAGCTCTTTTTTTTTTTTTTTTTTTTTGAGACGGAGTCTTGCTCTGTCGCCCGGGCTGGAGTGCAGTGGCTCACTGCAAGCTCCTTCCTCCGGGTTTCTGCCATTCTCCTGCCTCAGCCTCCCGAGTAGCTGGGACTACAGGCGCCCGCCACCTCACCCGGCTAGTTTTTTGTATTTTTTTCAGTAGAGACGAGGTTTCACTGTGTTAGCCAGGATGGTCCCGATTTCCTGACCTCGTGATCCGCCCGTCTCGGCCTCCCAAAGTGCTGGGATTACAGGCTTGAGCCACCGCGCCCGGCCGAGTGTTACAGCTTTTAAAGGCAGCATGGACCCAAACTGTTACCAACAGCAAGATTTACAGTAAAGAACAAAAGAATAACGCTTCCACAGTATAGAAGACGACCCTACTGAGTCACAGCTCGGTGGCCAGGGCAGCCTGCTTTTATCTTTATCTGACCCCACTCACATCCTGCTGATTGGTCCCTTTACAGAGAGCTGATTGGTCTATTTTACAGAGAGTTGATTGGTTCGTTTTGACAGAGTGCTGATTGGTGCGTTTACAATCCTCGAGCTAGACAGAGTGCTAGAGGGAAAAGTTCTCCAAGTCCCCACTAGGTTAGCTAGACAGAGTTAGCTAGATACAGAGTACCAATTGGTGTATTTACAAACCCTGAGCTAGACACAGTCTTGATTGGTAACTTTACAATCCCTCAGCTAGACATAAAGGTTCTCCAAGTCCCCACTAAGCTAGATACGAACTAATCATTGTACTGATTGGTGTATTTACAAACCCTGAGCTAGACACAGAATGCTGATTGGTGTATCTATAATTCCTCAGGCAGACATAAAAGCTCTCCAAGTCCCCACCAGACTCAGGAGCCCAGCCAGCTTTACCCAGTGGATCCCGCCCTGCGACTGCAGGCAGAGCTGCCCGCTAGTCCTGAGCTGTGCACCAGCACTCCTCAGCCCCTGACGAGTCGGCGGGACCGAGCACGGTGGAGCAGGGGGCGGCGCTCCTCAGGAGGTTCGGGCGCACGGAAGCCCACTGCGCGAGCGGGGGTTGGGCATGATGGGCTGGGCTGCAGGTCCCGAGCCCTGCCCCGCCGGGAGGCAGGTGAGGCCAAGCGAGACTTTGAGTGCTGCGCCAGTGGGCCAGCACTGCTGGGGGACCCGGGGCAACCTCCGCAGCTGCTGGCCCGGGTGCTAAGCCCCTAACTGCCCTGGCCAGCGGTACCGGCTGGCCGCTCTGTGTGCGCGGCCCGCGGGGCCCACCGAGCCGGCACCCGCCGCTGGCCCGCGAGCGCCGCGTGCAGCCCGGGTTCCCGCCCGCGCCTCTCTCTTCACACCCACCTGCAAGCAGAGGGAGGCGGCTCCTGCCTTGGCCAGCCCAGAGAAGGGCTCCTACAGTGCAGTGGGGGGCTGAAGGGCTCTTCAAGCGCTGCCAGAGTGGACGCCAAGGCCGAGGAGGCGCCGAGAGCGAGGGCTGCTAGCACGTTGTCACCTCTCAATTTGGTGGACCATTTTTATGGCTATATAGGATTAACAAATTTTTGAAAAACAGCATCATTAGAATGACTAAAACAATCATATGGTAACTTGAACAGTCAGACTTTTCTTTTTGCAGAGTTGAGCAGAAATATGGCTTATAGTTTCCTCAAATCATTCTAGAACTCCAGACACAGTGTTGGACCTTGGAACCAACAAGGAAGTTAGTGGTGCCAATATTTGGGCAAAAACCAAGCTGTGGGTGAAAGATCTCTTATCCATAGCATATGTCCACTCCTGTCTCTTCTCAGGTTTTCACTGTGTCAATAATAGTGAGTTTGAATTCATCATATAAAATTAATACCTGTTCTTATAAATGTTCACTGGTTTTACATGCTGTGACACTTCTGCAAATGTGACACTTCTGTACAGGGTTCACAGCTTTAACAGAATAGTTGCTTTAGTCAAAGAAACAAAGAATGATAATATATAAAATTTAGTATGTTCCTGGCATAGTTCTGAGTTCCTTATATTAACATATTTCATTATTAATGTTATTATACCTGAATTTTGCAAATAAGAAAAGTGAGAAAAAAGATAAGTAATTTGTACAAGTTTTATAGTCAGTAAGCAGCAGAATTTGGGTTTGGGCTTGGGTTATGACGACACTTAACACCACTAAGTTCTGCTGTATTTCAGAGAAGAAATAACAGCCACAGTCTATTTTGGTTTATATAGAGGAATAAAATATCATAAGCAAAAAACTAAATTTGGCCAGGTGCTGTGGCTCATGCCTGTAATCTCAGCACTTTGGGAGATGGAGGTGGGCAGATCACAAAATCAGGAAATCGAGACCATCCTGGCCAACGTGGTCCACGAAACCCCGTCGCTACTAAAAATACAAAAAATTACCTGGGCATGGTGGTGCGTGCCCATAGTCCCAGCCACTCAGGAGGCTGAGGCAGGAGAATCGCTTGAACCTGGGAGGCGGAGGTTGCAGTGAGCCGAGATCACACCACTGCACTCCAGCCTGGGTGACAGGGCGACTCTGTCTCAAAAAGAAAAAAAAAAAAAAAAAAAAGTACACCTAAATTTAAGTCTCAATCAATGTTCTGTATATTTCAACAGTAGTAACAATTAATACAGATGCAGTACTTTATGATTTACACATTTCTCATTTATTTCTAAGAACAGCCCTTATTCTTTAAACTGTGTGGAAGATGCTAGTAGACTATACTGATTTGAAAAAAAAAATTTACAGTAAAACTGAATGTCTTAATGAATTTTTAGGTTTATTTTAAGTATATGCAAGTATATAAATACAGGTCAATAAAAACGTCATAAATTATTAAACAACTTGCTCTTTTCATCTAGCACTGTGTGATAATCACTTCCCAAGTACCACGAGATAAAGGCAAGAGAAAACTCTACTACAAGAACCTGAAGTATATACTGGGATGCCTTCCAAAAAAGGTAAGTGGAGTCCTTTCCACATTCTGGGAACTAGAACCATGGATGTAATCTACAAGACATTCAATGAAGATCTATAATGTGCTCATCAATAGAACACTGTGCCTGCAGATTGACAAGTCTCTCTGGCCATTGCCCTGAGGCCTTCAGAAAGGGACTGAACTGATATTTGAGGAGACTGAGATTTTAAGTAGAAAAAAGTCAAATAAAATATAGGAAAAGATAGTAAAAGGAAAAAGACAACCAAAATCTATAGCTTTCTAGAGGACTAGGACCACCAGAAACTTCTAGTGTCAAAGACTGGCTTGTGTGACTGAGCAGATGGCTTTGTAAAAGTTGTTAGAGTTCTGTCTGAGGAAAATAAAGGTCCAGAGACAAAATGAACCCTCTCTCCTCTCATTTTGGCTCATGCAATAAAGATGTTTATTGTTTAAAAATAATCTACTGCAAATTTACTGAGTATTTCTGCTGGCAGACAAAGATTAGAAGAGTAGAGCAGGCGGGCATCAGCATACATTTCTAATTTTAAAACCACTTTAGTTAGACATACATTGTTGCAGCCATGTCAAACCAAATTTTTCATAGAATTTGTAAAGATAATTCATTATATGCATGACTTCCTAAGATATATTCCTTTTTCTTGGAAATTCCTGGAATATTCAGAAAGCAGAATAGCACTTATAGTACGTGCTAATATTAATGGGCTTTATATACATGCAATCAAATGATTAAAAGTTATTTTATTATATCATCACTAAGAATGCCAGATTAACCTCAAACTCCAAGACCCCTTCTTTTTACTCATGGAAATTCATCCTTTATTTTGTTCTAGGTTTAGATGAAATACTGAGTTACAATTGCTTCTTCAGTTTAGCTCTCTGAGCTCTACTTGCTGACATTGTATTTTGTAGATTTAATCTTAGTAACTGCTGTTAGTATAAGTTGCTTAGCCTTAGTGATCATCATATGTAACTAGTTGGCCAGAAAAATAAACAAGCAAAAACCAAAACAGGATACAACAAACAGAATATGCTCTTATATCCATAGCAATTGAATAGAAACACTTCTCTGTTGCAGGCAAAAAGCTATTTACCAAAATCTTTTCTCCCTCTGCGTGACGTGGAATTGTAGCTTGAAGTTGAATAGTTAGGCAAGGGCTAAATTCCTCAGTTTCCGTGTTTTCTTTTTCCCCAAATACTGACTGGATCTAATTGAAAATGATATCCTAATGGATAATTGAGCTCTACGATAGAAGGAGCCTGGATACTTGCAAAACCATGCGGAAGAGAGTGCTTCCAGCACTCTGATCATTCACTAAGGACTGTTTTAGGAAAAAGAAATAAACGTTTATTCTCCTGAGCCATTACATTTTGGATTTAATTATCACTTCAGTCTTGCCTATCTTTACTAATATTATCTGCTACTGCTAGTAAAACCTCTTTAAGTTTTTCAAAGATCTTGCAGTCTATAGAAGCACCCAGGGGCTTTTGTTACTTTGCTTGCTTTCTAAGTGACGCATACACGCTTTACAAATACTTGAATGTGTAATAGGCTCTTGGAGTGGAGGAAGGGTGGTGAATTTTTGTAACTGTTGGCACATAGGGGCAATCTTTTCACTGAAGTGATAAATACGGTATTAATAATGCATGTAGATGTATAGTGATTCTATCATTTCTTCAAAGTAGAAATATATCCCCTTGAATTTAGCAAATATTATTTGCTGTGCCCATGCACATCCATTGACAGGTTTGATGAGACCGCACATCCTGTTTTCCTTTTTCAGACAGTAAAAGCTGTTTCATGGAACAAGTGTTTTAGATTAAAATGAATAGGTAGGAAATAAAACTATAATGTAAATCTAGACCCATAGTTGAATAGTTGACAGCTGCATGTCTAAGGGAAAAAAAATAGTCAATATTTTTCATGATGATAGATTGAAATGGGATTAGAATACAGCTGGATTTCATCTGGTACATCTCAACAGTACACATTTCCCTCAGACTTAAAAGAGATCTCTGGATGAGCTTAAAGTGCTAGGCTCTTTATCAATCATAAATTCTGTTGTTTGTCCTTAAATACAGATATTGGCAATTTTCGTGTATATATGCTGGCATTTCAAAATAAGAGCTATGTCGCTAAATTCTCTTTGCAATAAATTCAAGTTTGCCAATGTATAATTATATGATCACTGCTCCTCTGAGACCCCACCAAAGGACAAGCATAATTTATAAATATTTCTTACAAGGTAAAGACATGACCCTGTCTCAGGGAATTCATGAACTGTGATTTTGAGAAACACTGCAATCACTAAATACTTCTAGATATACCATAATTGTGTTCAGATATGTACTTAGTCAGTTTTGTTTTAAATATTATCTAAATGAAATAAGACCTCGTTTTTTAACGTCTTCCATCAAACAATTAGCCACTCTTCCAACAACGTTCAATCTATACACTTCGTTAAATAAAACAAATACTCAGCTATTTCCTTTTGTTTTATGTGTTCCATGCAGAATTTTATGTTCATTTTTCTGTTTTGTTATGCATGATACTAAAATTCCTGTTAGTTAGAATACAGACATGACTTATATAAGGAAAATGTGTATTCTTAATTATATAAAAGCACAGAAAACTCATACTGTCACCTGTGAATATCGTGAAAGCCAGTTGTGAGAATATGAAACAAGGACTTTGTTGTTACCCATTTATCAAAGGACAAAGACTGAAATTCTTAGCCTGACCCACAAGGCCCTGAATTATCTGGTCTCTATCTACCTTGCAAGCCTCATTTTGCATTATGCTTGCACCTCCTGCTCTGTGCTTCAGCTATTCTGCCCTCTTTTCAGATCCATCTTGAACATCCCAGGCTATTTATCTTGTCTGAAATTTTCTCCTACTGTTCATCCATTGTACCTAATCCTCATCTAGTTGAATCTTACTTTTTAGTTCAATAGTTATTTCTTCAGGAAAGCCTACACTAGCCTTCATTCCTAAATAATTTTTATCTAATATATACATTTATCAGCATGCTCCTCTCCTTCATATTTTTTTATCATATTTGCTGTTTTCTGTTTGTGTTATACTCTGTTGAATATTTTCTACTCTGTTAAACTCTAGGGACCATGCCGTTTTTAGTAGTCTTTGTATTATTATCACTTAAAGATATTGCATATAGGTAGAACTAAATAAATATTAGTTGAGTGAATAAGTTAATGAGTGAAGTACATTTTATTCACACCTGGCTTCAAACTCTAATAAAAAAAATCAGACATGAGTTGAACCACATCAATGTTTCTGTTTAATGTTTTTAAAATATTTCAGGGTTTTGTACAAATAAAATTGATTTTCAGTTAGGCTTTGAGCAGACAACGATGCTTTCTATCCAAACTTTTGTGATTCAGTGAGAATAAGTTTGTAAGAAAAATGAAAACTTTGAATATAAAATTTATAGTTTCAGCATTCCTCTCCCATTCTTATTCTGAAAAGTATGTTCCTATTGTATTAACCTTTGTGCAGATAAGAACTATTTATTCTGTGCAAGATAATAATGAAAAAAAGGCAAAAA